AAAAAAAAAAAAAAAAAAAAAAAAAAAAAAAAAAAAAAAAAAAAAAAAAAAAAACCAACAAATAAAATTAAAAAAAGAGAAGATAAAAAAGTAGAGAATAAACAAAAAAAATAAATACAGAAAATAAAGACAAAAGACAGAAAAAAAAATAAAAACAAAAGACAAAAGACAAAGCCACAAAGAAAAATAAAAAAAACAAAAGACAAAGACAAAGAAATGAAACAAAAACAAAAGACAAAGACAGCTATAAAAATAGAAAAAACAAAAGACAAAGACAACGATATAAAATAAAAACAAAAAACAAAGACAAAGACAAAGCCATAAAGATAAATAAAAAAAAAAAACAAAAGACAAAGACAGTACATACTAGATAGAGAGTTTTCGTTGCTAACTGCTGGCGGCAGCTCCCCTTCATCTGTCTCCTCCATCGGGCCGTAAATCCTCACCTACAAACCCCACAAACCCTAAACCCTAAACCCTAAACCCTCAGCAGGCCTGTAAACCCTCATCGCATCTACAAGCCCCACAAACCCTAAACCCTAAACCCTAAACCCTAAACCCTAAACCCTGAGCCTCTCCCACCGCGTAAACCCTCACCCGTCCTCCTCCCCCCCTTCCCCCCCCTTAAACCCTAAACCCTAAACCCTAGACCCTAAACCCTAAACCCTAAACCCTACTTGTCGGATATGTGTATCTCTGCCTTGCTGGTGTGTAGTTAATACAGCTATTTGTAAACAAGCAGCACAAAGATATTCAGCTGTATGTACACCCGAAACGGGCAACTCCACTCCGTCGTGAATCTGAGACGTTAAGCCGTTCGCTAGCTGCAGCAGCAGCAGCAGCAGCAGCAGCAGCAGCAGCAACAGTAGCAACAACAGCAGCAGCAGCAGTAGCAGCAACAGTAGCAGCAGCAGCAGCAGCAGCAGCAACAGCAGCAGCAGTAGCAGCAGCAGCAGCAGCAGGAGCAGAAGGAGCAGCAATAGGTGTAGCAGTAATAGTAGCAGCAGCAGCAGCAGCAGCAGCAACAGCAACAGCAATAGGATGAGCAGCAGCAGCACAGATAAAGACAAAGAGACAAAGATAAAGAGACAGAGAAAGGAGACAAAAGGAGACAAGAAGAGACAAAAGGAGATAGATATAAGGAGACAAAAATAAAGAGACAGAGACAAAAGGGGGAGGGGCACTGCAGCAGAAAAAAAGAAAAAACAAAAGGAGACAGAAAGGAGACAGATAGAGACAAAAAGAGACAGAAAGGAGACAGAAAGGAGACAAACAGAGACAGAAATAAGACAGAAGGAGACAAAAGGAGACAAAAAGAGACAAAAAGGAGACAAAAGGAGACAAAAAGGAGACAGAAGGAGA